AATTATTTAGTACTGCATAGCGATCACCCTTGCTGGATCAGGGTGACTAATATCCAAAATCTGGTGGTTTCTTAACAGGTCTCCTGTGGCTTCTTTGGTTGCAACCCCCTCAAATCCCCCAAGATAGGACAAGTCTGAAAGCCCCGAAAGATCATGTTTCAGAGGGTTCTTCAAGCTGTGCATTTCCTAGGCAGACTTCTTTTGGGAAAAGAACTCCGCTTAAAAAGTAGTAAACCATATGTAATAGTTCTTCTTCAAGATTCTAAAGATAAAGAAGACGCATTCTGGTGTACAAGAAATACTGACTTGAATTTTCTGGAAGCTAACAGGAAATGCTGCTCTTGTGATAAACAGAAGCTCTGTTTTAATGAAGGGAAAGGCTGAATACTGAACCATGACAACAATTAAGTGTTATGTATCAAACACTGCATGCAAAAAGACTAGATTATGAGCCACCATTACTTGAATTTTCAATATGGCAACAAACATATGGCACTATATCCAGGGTCTCAGGACATTCATATCTCCTGATCCTGGAGACGCTGGGGGTTGAATCTGGGACTTTCTGTGTACAAAGCTGATGCTCTACCACTGAGCCATGAGGAATTCATGTGGACTGAAAACTCTTGGGAGTGCTATGAGATTTAACTATATTTTAATCCTCTAAAAAAAGAAGAGCTAATAGTCTCAAGGCCACTTCTCATGATACGTGCACCAGCCTTATAACTGTACACCAGCGTTCTAAATGGTCATTTGCCCAGACTCGTGTAGACAATAACGATACTGCAAGCAACTTTCCAGGGAATGTATAGCAAAGATGGTTCCCTCTTTTAGATTTTAGACACGTTGACAAACTACTTATGTATGGAAAGGCAGACTAGCAAAACATTCCTGAAGGCATGTTACTTTCTGCGATTTTTTACAAGGATTTATACGTGCCAGTTTCCTGGAGAGAAGGGGTTACCTGTAGGACAGTGTCAGGATCCACAGCAAAACAATGAAGTACACGCTTCCAGGAAGGTTTTACTTTTATTGAAAAGCCATAGATGCAGTAACACGAACACTGTTAGGAATGGCGGGTTACCTATGCGCACACTAGGATATAGGGCATTTGTATACACCCCACCCACCCCACGTAGTACCCAATTTGGCTGAGAACTAACGGCTGCAGAAGCAGGGTAGGTGAGAAGTTTCCCACGACTTCCAGACACATCAACTCCCCCAGCGGCCTTGAGAGATATTGGTTGCAGCGAAGAGGCAATTAAGCGCAAGGGAAGGAATGTACAGTACAGAGAAACATACACCATGCTTTTGGCAGCTTAGCTGACAGACAGCCAGCTCTGGGTTGGGAAATACCTTGAAATTTTGGGGGTAGAACCTGAGGAGGGCAGAGTTTGGAGAGGGAAGGGACTTCAACGGGATATAATGCCATAGAGTCCACCTTCCATGGTGGCCAATTTCTCCAGGTGAACTGATTAATGTTGCCTGGAGATCAGTTGTAATCCCAAGGAGATGTCCAGCTACCCCCTGGAGGTTGGCAATCAGTTATCTGATTTCTGCTGAAAAACTGTCAGGCAATGATCCCTCTAAGCTGTGGAGTCCTGTGAGCAAAAACTCTACTCTGTGAGCTGCTGGCATTAAAGTTGTGAGCGAGCGATTTGGCGACTGCATAAATTAGTTTGCTCTGGAGCCGTCCTTCCTGAGCGAAGACAACAATGTGTGAGCTGGAGGCTAAAAAAACTGTGAGCTAGCTCACATGAACTCAGCTTAGAGGGAACACTGCTGTCAGGTCTAAAGAGACCCTTACACAAAGATAAGCAGACTGAAAAGATCTAATGTTACTGGTCTTACTTAGGTTACTAAATGAAACCTGATATAGCAACCAGCTCCCCACCTCTCAGTCCCAGAGCATTATGCTATTTGAATTAATGGTATTTAAATTCCCATAATTTTTCAAAGTAAAACATGCAACTGCATATTTTAAAAGCCAGACAGCCAACATTAAAGCACTTAAGTATTTTCTTGCGCAATTTAAGCTTGTTTCCCATTTTCACTCCAACCCCTCAGACCACTTTGATGGTGTAATCTGCTCTAGACTCAACTTTGGCTGTGTATCTTGGCACACACTCAAAAAGCCAGAGGTTATTGTTTGATTTAAATGCCAAAATACTCACTGATAATACACTGGGAGCAGAATGATCATTTCAGCCTTCTCCCTGGGCCGTTTGGACAGACCACCTCTCCCCTCACCCACTTTCTGCCTTTAACAAAGGAAACGATTTCACATCAAGATCAGGAGCTCCATTTAGCCTATTGTTGGCATAACTTGACTGATGAGGTTATTAGGCAAGAACTGCTCCTAAGCATTAAATACCCCCAATTAGGACCTCTCCCATTTAATGCGTGCTTCTAACATTAACAACAAGCAGTTATGTCTCCCAAGACAGCCACTTACCTCAACTTTGCCAGTCAGTTCACAAAAGTTACTAGTCCAAAGAGCACATTTACCAGCCCATACAGAGCTC